AGTGGGAGGGGTAGGGGAAAGGAAAGAAGGGAATGGAATTAATATGAGAAAATGGAAAAATGGAAACAAAGTCTTTGTAAATAAGGAGGGATGGAGGGGTTGAAGGGAGGGCAGGGGAAAGAGGAAAAATAAGAATCAAGAGAGATTATGTAAAGGTGCAAATTTCCAATGATGAATGTCATTATATTGTTTACCTAAAATGTACCTTTAAAATTAAAGTTAAGAAGGAAAAAAACCACCAAAATATCCCCCTTGCTTCACTTATCACTCTTGCCACTTTCTGAAATAGTTCTGCAAGTCCTCTTTCAAGACTGTCTTTATGAACTCTGATAAAAAAATACACAGTGAACGCTGCTGCTGAATATCATCCAACAGAAAGGCAGGCTCGTAAAAACACGACTTTGTCCTCATCTACTTTATTCACCAGATCTGGCACCCTGTAACCTCTGGCTCTTCCCCAAATACAAAATGACCGGGAAAGGTAAATGTTTTGAATCCATTCAGGATATGGAGGCAGCCAACCGCACAACAGCAGAACCAAAGACACTCACGAAAGAGGACTTCCAGAACTGCTTCAGAAAGGGGCAAGAAGGATGGCATGAGAGCTTGAAGCGAGGCGGAGTATGCTGAGGTGGATTAACAGCAATGTATCTTTAACTTTTTTTTTTTTTTGTGGTACCGGGGCTTGAACTCAGGACCTTGCACTTTCAAGGCAGGCACGGTGTCACTGAGCTAAATCCCTGGCCCTGCAATGTATCTTTAATTGTAAGACATTTTAGGGCTGGGGATTTAACTCAGTGGTTCCGGCGCCTGCCTCACAAGCGCAAGGACCCAAGTTCGATTCCTGGTACCAAAAAAAAAATTGTAATACATTTAAAAAACTTGAACATTCAAGGTATATTTCGATCACACTGCATACTCATCTCAGGCTGAACAATTAAAGAGTGTGGTGGGAAATGCAACAGAAAGTGCAAAAGGGACCAGACCCTGCGTCAGCTGTGTTCTCCAAGTCAGGACACACTAACAAGGCTTAGTCTCCGCCACCACCACCACCTGCTCTCCTATCTTCCTTGGAGAGGGGTTTGGATGCTGCCTCTCTTGGCTCTGATTCCACATCCCCCTGAGTGTCTTCCCACACCTTCCTCTCCCTCTAGTCCCCCTAAGTTGGAATTCTGGAGATGAGAGAGTCTGCATGGTCACTGGGCCGGGAGCTGGCCCTGGTGGAGGCTGCAGCTAACAGCCAAGGACTGACATTGGTCTAAGGCGCCAAGCTCTGGTTTGGTCCAACTCTCAACAGGGAAAGTTAAAGAGAAGCACAAAGGGAGTTCAGCTATTACACCAAAGTGACACTGGGCATCATCTCTGTGAATTTACGATGTTAAAGGCACAAACAGCCCCACAGTGAAGTCACCATGAATGGAATAAACTTAGGCATGCACAACTTCAAGGATACATGCCCAGGATGACAGCTTCAAGGCATTTGATAGGCAAGGACTCTCGGGTCATTTCCTTCGCTGTTTCCATTAACCTGCAGGACAAAGCATAACAGAGGATATCAGGGACCGTGCAATTCTGCAGTCAGCCAGTCTGTCAGCCATCAGCATGCATTCTCCACACCAGGCACCATGCGGGAACACAAGGAAGGCCCCAAAGCACAGCGCACAGAGCAGAACAAAGGTCCCATGTCCACCTCCCTCCCCTTCCCAAGTTAGTGCCCGGAGGTTGGCACCAGCACCCCAAGAATCCTCCCGCTGCCCGGGTTACTCTTTTTCACCACCAAAGGTGGCGTCAGAGTGGCCCAGTCCTCAGTCCTGCCTCCAACTTGGCCCTGGGGCACCCTCACCTCCACTCCCTGCACTCTACGATATCCGGGCACTGAGATTCAGGGAACAGAGGTTGGAAGAGCCAGTTGGCAGCTCAGGTAAGAGAAAGATTATCCAGCCCATCGCTCATGCACCACTTACCCGCTCAGTGGTCTCATTTTCCTAATTTCAAAGAACTGGGTCCCCGTGTGATTATATCTGTGTAAAGTTTGTAAAGGGAAAGTGACAGAAAACTCCAAATGTCCCAGTCATCCGGCAGAGGAAAATATGCAATCTGATCTCTCAGTGGGATTAGCTTCTCAGAAATGGTCCCTGGCTAGAAGGTAGCTAATAGCCACGAATTCCTCACCACTCTGCCCTGGAAATCTAATTCTTAGTTAGGCCCCAAAGCATCTCAAACTTTTGCAACAGCTCTTTAATCTGCTCTGTATTCTGGTCAGTTAAATATATGTCTTATTTTGCCTACCAGACTACAAGTTCTTTGAGAGTTGGGGCTGTTTTTAAAAATCATTTTTACATCCCCACAAAGCTTGGCAGAAGCCCAACACATGCAAGTTAGCAAATAGTAAATGAATGAGAAAGTGAATGAATGATGGGCAGGGATAGACTGGTAGATAAATGGGCCAATGGATGGAAGACTAGATGGATGGATGGATGGATGGAGAGATGGAAGGATGGAATGGAAGGGCTAACAGAGATGGATGGAAGGAAGAGAGTCTGGAAGAATGGCACCATTTTTCAATAGCACACAGACTGCAGCAGAGTTTACTATGGAAACATCATCTTCTTTTCAGGATGGCAGTAGATGCTGATTTAGTAAACCTGAAAAGACAGCACCATTAACTGATGCTCAGGCCTCAGGAATGGCAAGCCTGCTGCATGCAGGTCATCCTGGAAGAGACCAAAGACTCTGATGTCACGCTTTCTGAGACTGGCTCTTGATTTTTCTCAGCCTAGAGAAAAGGTGCTTTGTATATTTTGCTCTTCAGCCTCAAACAAAACTGTATTTTTTTTTTAAGTGCATGCTGGGAGGATGCTAATGAAGTATGAATTTGAAGCAGCCTAAGGCTGCTTCAAGCCTAGGCAGCCTCGGGCCTCGGCAGGGCATCTGAGATGTGCAGTGTGCCCTGCAGTAATAGAGCAGCTACGGATGAGGCGCCTCACACCCTCCGAGAGGGTCTGGGGTCCCCTCGCAGCCCAGATGTGCTTGGCTTTGCAGACATGGGGACACCTAATGACCATCTGCGGAGCTCAAAAGCAGTCTCGGAATCAGCCCTGGCAGGCTCTGATTTTAGGCCGTGGATCCTAACCTTGGGAGACATTGAGCGTCCCCCATGCCAGACAAATGAACTACAGGTTCTGGGGCCAGGACCACGGTTAATGCCTGGGCCGTAGTAACCGCTGAAGCACAGATGCCTGACATTCCTAAGACACAACCTATAAAATCTTATAAGAGAAAAGAGGAAAACAAGGAACTAAAAATTCTCACTGTGAAGTGATTTTGTTTACCAAAGATTTTACTCAACTAGTGGAGTCCCAGCACATTTAAAGTAGAATTCGATTAGCAAAACTTCACTTCTAGGCCCAGCTCTCCCTACTTAGACATCTAATTTACACATGGGGTTCATAAAGGAAGATAAACCCATAATTAAATAATTAAAATTCACCTCGCCTTTTTATGGTACATAAAGGAGCCCCTGGAAGGGAGTGGGGCTTCCTTCCCCCAGCCTCCCCCTGCCTAGCAAGACCTCCACCAGGCCGAGGGCCCCTTGCATGCTGTCCCGAAGAGCTTGGGCAGCCCGACCTTTCCTGGCTGCCACTCAGAGGCTGTCCCAGGGAGGCAGGATTTGTTTTCTCATCTGTCCGCTGACAGCTGCGGCTGGGTCTGCCCGTCCCCACCCCTGACACCTGGCACTGTGTCCAGGACAAAGGAGCCGGGGCTCCCAAGAGAGGAACTGAGATCCAGGCCAGAAGGCAGAGAAAGAGTGAAGATTCTGCCTTCCTCTGGTGGCCCCCAGGGAACAGCTCCTGCAGTCTGCAGCCCGTGCAGCGACCATCAGAATGGGTCGGAGCAAAGGGAAATTAAACAGCACACCCTCGGGGCAGAGGTGGAAACTCAGCTGCAGGGTGTCTGGCTGCCCCCCCACCGCCTCCCAGTCCTCTCCATCAGTCTCCGGCCAGGTGGCCCTGCGAAGACTGGGTCCTAGAGAGGAGGGAGCTTCTGGAATGTAGAAAGGGCCAGGTCTCGGGGACCCAGTCTACTTGCTGGGCAGGAGTTTGGGTCTCTGGACCCCAAGGAACTCCCATGTGGGGTGCAGGTTGGAGGCTCAGCCCCAACACTGAGTCTCCCCAGGCTGCAGTCTCATGTGCACCTCCTCCCCTCACATCACCCCATTTCTACCCGGGAGAGGCCATGCACAGAGCCGATGGTCCATGCTTCAGGAAGCGGGAGGCTAATCAGGGCATCCCCACCTCAATGAGCAGAAACTGGTGTCCCCCCATGCCCCTGTGACACCGGGCCCTGTGGAGGTAGTGCTGGCGTCTGGTCCCTGCAGGGGAGACACTGAAATCCACCAGGAGGTTCTTGCCTGTGACAGAAAGGAGGGGCTCTCCCGGGCCAGGTGGGATGCCTATGGTGTTCCAGAGTCCCAGCCTCCAGGCTGGTGTCTGCTCCTGGACAGGGAGGGGGCCGATGTGCCGGGGGCTGGGCTTCCTGTCTTTAGGAGGCAGGGCGGAGCCCTGAGGAAGCCTGGGCTCCCGGGGTGCTGAGACCCACTCCCCACAGGACGCTGGCCTGGCAAAGACACCGTTAAGTGTGAGCCAGCCACACCTGTGCTCACAGAGCCCTAGGAACCAATCTAGTCTTGACTACAAACAACCTGAGGTCCCCCCAGGAGAAAGGGACCCAAGGTGTGGATGGTCTGAACCCAGCCTGGGCCCTCAGGGCTCCGCACATGTCCTCCGGGCCGAGTGGGGAGAGAGGACCCTCTTGCTGCCACCGTCCACCATGCAGAGCCGGAGCAAGGTCACCAGCCTGGAGGCTTCGGGAGCCCAAGGCTCCCTGGAGATCATGAACGGGCAGGGATGAAGGCAAATGTGAGAGAGGAAAACAGGAACAGAAGAATGGGAGAGAAGTGGGAGATGGGAATTCAGTGCAGGCAGGGAGCAGGACAGGACAAAGATGGGTAAGCGGAAGTGGAGGGGAGGAAGGCGGGAGGAAGTGGATGCCAGGGAGTTGGCAAAGCACCAGGAAGGGGAGGGAGGAGGAGGACACTGAGGGCTCCGGGTGGACCTGGGCCCTGCGGTCCACCTTCAGCCCCACCTTCAGCAACCATTCTCACCTGGGGCATCCCTCCCTGCCTGACCTCAGGGAGCTCTGGGGGACCAGCTGGGGACACCTATGCCACCAGGTGTGCAGTCCCCATCCCTGCCCCCTGGCTGGAAGGATACTGTAGCGTCTTCATGTAATTCTGGATCGCCTGGAGCCAGTCTGGGATCGTCATGGACAGCCTGTAGTTTGGGACCTGGGGTATTGAAGGCTGCAGAGAAAGAGAGACAGGGATCTACTTACCAAGGAGGGCAGCCCAGGCTGAAATCACCAGAGAGAGCTCCTGAGAGAAGAGGGCCACCCTGGCACGGCCACCCACTCTGCAGCGGGGTCCACTCTGGCCACAGTGGTTCCCACAGCCCTCGGGGTCCCAGTGTGGAGCAGCTGGTCTCCTCCACAGCAGCCTAAGTGCTCAGGACGGACACACAGGCAGGCGCTCCACTCATCCCCGATTTCAGTGTATGACACCTGCTGCTGCACGGCCAACGCAGGCACCGTGCACGAACAACACAGGGCGCTGCGGGCACTGCATCTCAATCCCACTCTCCCAGCAAAGCCCAGCTCATCTTCCCGGGTCCCCTCCCTAAAACACTTGCTCCCCGGCCCTGCCCGTCCCAGGGTCGGACAGAGCAGCTCCTGACTTCTGAGCCTCGACTCAAAGCCCTGACGGCGCCCGTCAACTGCTTCTTCGTCTGTCTCTTGCTCTACGCTGAACGAGGCTCCACAACTGAGCTTGTGGACTTCTAGTCCCCGCCAGGAGGACAGGGATGGGAACGGGCAGGGGACACCACTCAGGCCAGTCCCGGAAAGCAAGGGACGCCAGCCGGGCAGGGCTCTGTTGTCCATACACTGGCTTTTCTGGCTTAGATTTTCGTTGTTTTGCTTTATTGGCCGCACGCTTCCGGTCTCCTGACCTGTCTGCCTGGTGGGGCGGGGTCACGGGTCAGAGAAACTCAGCGCAGGTGGGCCCAGGCCGGGGAGGAGGAGGCTCCGGGGGATTAGCCTCTTATGCAGAAGCAGAAAAGGCTAAAGGAAAGATTAGCCCCATCCCGGGAGGAAGGGCGGGCAGCCCTGGGGATTTGGGGCTCAGCAGACAGAAAAGGAAGCTGCTGGAAAACAGACCTGGGGACAGCCCCGGGGGGCTGAGCCAGGGACTGCCAGGGAAGCCCCTGCCTCGCGCCCCCTCTGGGCTCTCCACGACGCCAGCAGGCTCCCTCCCAGGGCCTCCCCTCCGCGAACTCCCCGCCTCCTCGCAGCTCTTTCCCCCGCGGTTACTCCAGTCGCTCTTGGCTGAGACACCCCGCTTCCCAGCACCTGCCCCTGCCCCTGCCCCTGCTGCTGAAGGACGCCAGTCACACTTCCTACATGACACCCGAGGCACTGTGTGTGTAAAAGTGCATGTGGCTGTGTGGGCGCACACGCAGACACAACCGTTCTGCGGGCTACGTTTGAGACACCTCCACGCACAGAAATCGTATTCCCGTCTGGGAGTCGTTCACGGACGCAAAATGTTCCAGTTTGAACACACACACACACAGTCAAAATAAAAGGTGCGCGGGCACAGTGGTGGACGCCTGTGGTCCTAGCTACTTGGGAGGCTGAGGCAGGAGGATACTGTGACCCGAGGAGTCCTAGGTCAGCCTGAGTGACACAGTGAGACCCATCTCAGAAACAAAACCAGGGACCCTTTGTGTTTCTGCTGAGCAACACTAGCAGGGGAACGATCCATTCCCGGGGTCATGGTCCTCTGCAACCACCACATTCTTTCAACTCACTGCAGGTCCCAGAGCCCACGGAGCTGCAAGGCAGGTGGGAGAAAGGCAGCAGCTGGGGCTCAGAATAGCAGCCCAGTGGCGCCCAAAGGCTTTTAAAAACAGCTGCATGGTTACCTCAGCTGCAGTTACTTTGGTCCCAGCAGGGAGGACAAATGCATGCAGGTTCCAAACCCTATCGGGAGCAGGGCTGTGGGGAAAGACACCACTGAGAAACCTGCCTGAAGACCAGCAGAGCTAGTGGGGCCCCGGCAGGGGGCAGCTTCCAGCTCCCCCAGCACTTAGACGAGATGCCAGGGCTCCTTGGTGTTACTAGAGAGCCCCACATCCAGCTCTGCGGGCCCCAGGTTCAAACCCTGCCCCATCACCTACCAGCTGTGGTCACGCAGCCTGAGCTCCCTGCTAAAATATGACTATCACCTGCTTCCAAGGGGACCCGAGAGGGAGTCGGCACAGCAGGGCCTGGGGCTTCTGCCCATCGGGCACAAGCTGTATTAGTAGTCATCGGCAACATGCTCTCGGGGCAGACTCAAGAGGAGTCCACGATCCAGATATCGATTCAGGAGCGTTCCACCCTGAAGATACCTTCTCACCCTAATAAGAAGCATGAAAACATCCACTGTCCCATGTAGACAGTGAGTTAGTATCTTTAATTCATGAAGAGGTCATACAAAGTGATAACTCCTGAAGGCTCAATTTAAAAAATGGCCCCCAAAGGTAGAAGCTACCCAAGTATATATGGGTAGATGAAAGGAATAAACAAAGTGTGGCATAGTCATTCAATGGAATATTATTCAGCCTTTAAAAAGGACAATTTGGCACATGCTTGAAAATGGATGAACTTTGAAGACACTTAGCTAAGAGAAATAAGCCAATCACAAAAGGGCAAGTATTATTTCTTTTTTTTGATACCGGGGATTGAACTCAGGATCTCGCGTTTTAGAGGCAGGCGACGGAACTACTGAGCTAAATCCCTGGCCAAGGACAACTATTATATAATTCCTGAGGCTCTTCCAGTTGTCAGATTGACAAAAACAAAGCAGAGAGTGGTTGCCATGGGCAGGATGGGGTGTTGCTGTTTAATGAGCACAAGTGTCAGCAGAGGAACATGAAATTTTGGAAATGAACCATGGTGACAGAAACACAACCTGAATGTGTTCATTACCACAGAACGGGACACTTGAAAAGGGCTAAAATGGCAGATTATTTGTTATGTACATTTCACCACAATAGAAAAGACCACAAAAAGACAGTTCACAAAAGAAATACAAATAGTGAATATTTGAGGTAAATATTTGACAGAATTCAAGTTCACTAATGATTTAAGAAGTACCAATTAAGGCCACTGAAATGCCAGATGTGTTGGCGCACACCTGGAATCCCAGCACTCTGGGAGGCCGAGGCAGGATTGCAAGTTTGAGAAAAGGGCTGGGGATACAGCTCAGTGTGAAGGCCCTGGGCTCAGTCACCAGTACCACCACCAACAAAAGAGAAAGTCACTAAAAAACGTCACTCGCCTCTCTGGTTAGCAGACATTCTGAACCCCAGGTCCCTGGTGCTGGCCAGGATGCTCACATACAGCTCTGGTGGGGCCTAGTCCACCTTTCTCTTCTGACTGGCTTCTCCCTGTGCCTCCGCCTGGAATTCCAACCTGGACCCCTTGCGACTCTCACTTCCTGCCATCAAGTCCCGCCCCACCAGGGCAGACTCTAGAGGGAAAGGGCAGAACTGACCGCTCCCTGCAGACCAGGGCGGGCGGCTAAGGAGGGAAGAGGACCAGGGAGGAGTGGAGCAGCGGGGAGAGGGCTGTTTAGGAGGGAGAAGCATGAGGCCATACAGGCTGGGCCCTGTTCACCTGTCACAGGGTACGAGGGACAGGGCAGGCAGCAAGAGCTGTAGGTGCAGGCGGAGACCCAGACGCCTGCCCGCAGCAGGACCCGGATGCCCAAGCACATCACACTCTTCTGTTTTCTCTCTCTATTCCTTCCTTCCTTTCTTCTTTCCTTCTCCTTTTTTTTTTTTAGCACTGAGGATTGAATCCAAAGCCTTCACACTGAGCTACACCCCCAGCCTTTTGCTTTTAATTTTGAGATAGAATCTCCCTAGGTAGCTAAGTTTCCCAGGTGGGGCTTGACTTGCCACCCTCCTGCCTCCGGCTCCCAAGGTCCTGGGATGACAGGTGTGTACCACCTTACCTAGCTCGCCCACACCTCTTCGCTCTCACTTGGACAAAGCTCAGACCCCTGGAGGTGAACTCTTTCTCACTCTGGAATCAATGTGAGAAAGACACAAACCTGTGTGGTCTGCAAGAAGCCAGCTGATGTTCCTGCTGAATCCACCCAGGTTTCCTGCCAAGCCTGCTTCCGCCGAGGGGCTGGCGGGTGACTCCGGAGTGTTCTCTCCCTCCCGTCCTCTGTTTTCCTCCAAAGATTCTTGCTATCTTCTTAGCGATCCCTGAAAAGCCCTGGACTTGACTAGGTGAGTGCTAACTTCAGTCTCAGGAACCCCAAGGCAGAGCCTGCAGTCACAAATTTGGGGGCAGGGGAACCCTCCCGTCCCTGCCCCAGTGGCATCTGGACCTGTAGGCAGAAGCCACCAGGGCTAACAGGATGTCCTATTCTCACATCCCTTCCCCTGTGCCTTCTCAGTCCACACTCAACTGATGACTCCCCACCCTCCACCCCAGCCCAGCAGCCTCTTCTGTAAAAGGGTCGGCAGGAGCTGAGCTGATGGAAAGAGAAAAGGATTTGGTGAGTTTGGCTTGAGCCCCTGTATCAGAGAGGAGGAGCCCCTGAGTGGGGACCACTGGGGTCAGGACTGGGCAGGGGCAGGTTGTGCGGAACCCGGGGCCAGGGGTGCCATCATGGTGCTGGGGACAAGTGCCAGCCTGAGTGGGGTACAAGAGGGAGCGATGCTGAGCTCCCGGTCTCTGGGAAAGTACAGTTCGATGTGGCTGCGGTACTGAAGGAGGGACACTGCACTCCGCTCTGTGAGTATCAGCTACAGGACCCAGGAAGGAGAAATCTATGTTCTGAACCACTCACTGAGAATACTGTTTCATGCGTGTGCTTTTTGGGTAGTGCCCGATGACAAATTAGCGATTGTCCTAGGAAGAGGAGACTGAGCTGGTCTGGGAACCATGACACATAAGAAAAGGTAAGAGGCACCACCTGAGGTCAGAGAAGACTAACAGAAGCTGTGGAATGTCAGTTTTGAGGGCCCCTGGTGACACAGATCAGCATGAGAGACCCAGACTTGGGGTCAGAACACCATAGGATTTTTAGGGTTGGAAAGAATAGCCCACGAAATTTGCTCTATTCCCGTTTTATAAAGAAAAGTGAGGCCACAGATCTGAAATGAGTGACCTGGCTACAAAGCTAGAAGTAGCACACAAACAGGGCTAGAACTCAGTTCCTCTGTGTTCTAAGTCCCTCCTACCGCAGGAAGTCTGGGAGCACCCAAGGTTACTGTGAGGAGCACAGGAAGTGGACACACTGTCCAATTCAAAGGGCAAAGCACGCACCAGTGGTGAAATGTGCCTGGTGTGTCCCACCCGAGGTCTGTTGCCTGCACCCGCCTCTCAGCCGGAGAGCCCTCCCGCATTCCCAGCCTGCAGAAGGAGGCCGGGACACAGCCAGGAAGCGGGAGGCTGTCTAACCAATACTGAGCCCACAGCCTCCCCCAAATGGACAGGGGGGCACACAAGGATGCAATTAGGCGGTGAGGCAGAAGGCAGCAGGGGACCATGCGTCAGGCCTCTGTTCCCTGCTACCACCCCTTCCAGATGTCAGGGCTCAGCTCCCCCTCACGTAAGGACTCTGCACCCCAGAAAGGGCAGTCAGTGTTGCAGGAAGACTGGGTGCGGGTCAATAGGGCTGACACTCAAGCAGACAGGCTTCTCGGGCGCTCTCCTTGGCCAGCAGGGTAATAAAACCCTGGAACTGAGCAGCGGGAAGTTTATAGAGGATGTGTCACTTCCCCAAGGGCACACAGCCTTGTAGCTGTTCCCCAGCTGTCACCAGGCTGGGGACTCAGCCAGATGGCTTTCCAGGTCTCCGGTGTGGCATTCCTAGGCCAGCCTAGGAATCTTCTGAGCCATGCCAGTGTTGCCAGCACCCGGGGGACACACCATCCACCCCCACTCTGCAGCTCTCCCCAGTGCACATCCTGGTATTTTACACAATGCAGCTACTCCCACCAGGGCCATCCCTCCCCTGGCAATGACACCCTCAGCCCCTAGCCCAATCCGCTGGCTGGCTTCTCTCCAAAGTAAGAAGAGCTTTGCTCCTCCAGAGCCTCCTCTTTCAGCCAGGGACTAATTCATCACGTGTACTGGAAAGTCCCTTTTAAGCCACAGCCAAAACTTCCCTTTTTTTCTCTTGGAGCCCAGATAAGCTGGGAAGTGACAGTTCACTGTTTTGCAAATTTCAGAGGTGAAAGTCACTGCCAGGAAAAAAAAATTGGCAAAAAGTCTAGAAATGATTCACACTGAGAAGTCTGAGTGGTCGACTGCAAATCCATTCACAGCTTAATAAATCATTGGCTAGGGGGGCCGAGGAGGAACAAGCGATTCCAAGGGGGACAAGCAGGACAGGGTTCTTACGGGTCCACCCAGGCTTGGCTTCACCGGTGTTACCTGCGGTTCCAGCTTTTGCAGAAGGCACGCAGATGGGGTCGAGAAAATAATGGAGTTTGGCTCAGAGTCGGAGAAACCTTGGCACAGCCGCGCAATGCGGAGTGCTGGACCTCAAGCTCCCTGCCCGCCCCGCCCCCATTTCTAAGGCTTCCGGAGGGGGAGCAAGCGGGGAGGGGCCCACACTGCCCACCTTTCCTCTAAGCACTGACCTTTGCCAAAAAGGTGGCGTCCCGGATGGCCCCCACCACCTCTCCGCCCTTGGGGTGCACCTTGGCCACGTGCATCCACATGCGCTCCCAGGTGTGGCTGTCCATGGGGAAGCCGCTCTTGTTCACGTGGAACAGCACCCCACCGTCTCTGTCCTCTTCCTCCGAGCCCCCGCTGGTGGCGAGGCTCACGGGCCGCGCGTGGCTGCTCCGGGACCGGGTGCCTTTGGCGCCTTTGGGGTGGGGGCAGCGGTGAGTGTCGGCCGCCGAGCCAGTCATGGTGGGGTGTGGGCGTGGGCGCGGGATCAGAGCCCCACGCGCGTGGCCTTCTCCATGCCGCTGGTGCCGCAGGACGCGCCAAGGGGGAGCGCGGCGGTGCTCCCGCTCACTGGCCGGGTCTGGAAGCAGGAGACAGCAGACCCGGCGCTGAGCGGACGTGCAGGGGCGTGAGTGCAGGCCCGGGGAGTCCCCACGGCAGCCCCGCTGCCCTCGCGGGGGGACAGATCGCCCACCTCCCACCCCGCGCGCTGAGGCCCTGAACCCGAGCTTTCTGCCCGGCGACTGCGGGAAAGGCGGCTCGGAATTAGCAAGCAGGCTTCACACCCACCTAAGCCCGGGGCGGGGATGCGGGGCCCGGGGGCTGGGGGGATGTGGAGTGGACCGTGTGGGCCGAAGAAAGACAGCTCGTGTTGAGTGAGGAACAGGAGGTCCCCGCAAAGCTCCACGCGGCCCTCGGTCCCAGAGGTGGCCCGGCCACGAGCCTAGCCCAGAATGCGCCGGCACGTGAGCACGCGGGGTTCGAGCGCGGGCGCCGCAGCAGCCTCGGCTCGCACAGGAGGCGCGGTTTCTTCCAGGAAGCTCCCGCCCCGCCCTGGACCCCGGTGGGCGAAGGGGCGGCCCCAGCCCCTTCTCCGGAGCCCAGCGCCGGGCACCAGAGGGGCGCGGGACGCGCTTGGCGTGGGGACCCACCTGAGGCCAGCGCGCTTCATTTCGGCCGACCCTCTCCGGGGGTCGCGGGCGGCGGAGGTTGCTGCCCGGCCCTGGGCTGACTCTGCTGGGGGTGCGGCGGCCGGCCCCTCATCCCAAGTCTCATTCTCGAATGTTATTCTGTGAAATATAACCCAGTCACCCGGGCAGCCGCCGATGTTCCGAAGGCGCTCATTGGCCTCCGCAACAAAGAGGGGCGGGTCCCGGCCTCGGGACTCCACCTCCCCGAGCTCCGCCGCGCTCTGATTGGCTCCGGGCACCCTGGGCGGGAGGGGACCCGAGGTAGGGAAGCTGTGTGGCCGCGGGAAATCCGACCGCTATCGCGTCCTGGGAGCCCCGCGGGGCTGGAGAGGTTGTCCGTGGGCCTGATGATCCAGTTTCCCCAGGAGTCGTGGCCCCGGGGAGGGTTTGCAACTATGGGAAACAGTGGAGAGGCAAAGCCTCCCTGGAGTGACCCGGAGGCAGAGAAAGGCTGGGCTCGTCGCTGTTCCTGCCCGGGATGGTGGGGGATTCCGGCAGGGGCCTAAGTTTACATGTGTGCACAAAACTTAGTATATTTTTAAAATCCTACAAGTTTCCCCCAAGATTAACAAGTGGGCACAGCCTTGGACCCTCTGTTTTAGTCACGGCTAATGAAGTCCCTAAAAACCCAAGCGGATGTGCAGCCCGAAAGCCAAGAGGGGAGCCAGGCCCTGTTCTGCCCCAGGCGTGGTAGAGGAAGGGACCGAGAGGCTCCAGCCATGGTGGACTGGCCGCCTTCCCTCCCCACACGCCCCGCTCACCTACCTTTGCGCTAAAGGTGGTGTCCTTTTCTTTTTAAGGAAGAGAAGCTCGAGGGAGGCGGGAAAAGCACCAGGCCACTGACCCGCAGGCACATTCTAAGTCCACATTTGCCTTTTGCTGAGCCGGGTGGCCCTGGACAGCAGACTCCAAAATCTCAGCTCTCTGGCTGGCAGGATCGGATTCCCCCGCTTGTGTCCTGTGGACACTTGGGACCTTGGCCAGAGCCTCCTGTGCTCAGGCCACGTGTCAGCTTCTCGAGGACGAGGCAGCTGTGACTGCGGTGAATTAGGCTCAGGTGCAGAACCCGCCCACAAGGAGCCTTGAGAAAGCAGCTCCTGGTTGCTGACCCTCAAAACTGGCCTGAGATGCGAGGGAACTGGCCCACAGGCGGGCACAGAGGGACAGTGTCTGCGGAGGCCCTGGGGCACAGTGAGAGCCAGGACTCAGGCAAGGAGACTTGGGTTCAGGACCCAACCTGGCCCTGCACTGCTCACCCACACAGAGCCCAGGCCTGGGCTTTCTGCAGTCAGGAGAGAGAGCAGTAACTTGGGTCTATATGGAGGAGAAAATGGGCAGTTCCTGAAACTCTTGAATTTGTGGAACTCTGACTAATTCAAGGGGAGCAAGCACACGTGGGAGAAAAGCCTCCTTTCACAATGTAATTGCGTTAGTTTTCATTTTCTGATTAGAAGGAAACATGCCAAGACTGGGCGGGCGTGGTGGTACATGCCTGTGATCCCAGCTCTCGGGAGGCTGAGGCAGGAGGATCACCATGAGTTCGAGGCCGGCCTGGGATCCATAGTGAATTCAAGGGCAGCCTGAATTACATAGTGAGACCTTGTCTCAAAAAACCAAAAAAAGAAAAGAAAAGAAGAAAAAAAGAAAACATCCCTTAGAGAGTGATCTACTTTCTCATTTTGAACATTCTCCTTCTCCTTCCCCTTCTTTTTTTTATTCCTCTCTCAAATCTATTACCATCTCCAACTTCCCTTGGAGTTCCCAGTCCAGACTAGAACTGTAGGATGAGGTGGATGGGAATTTGGCCTGACAATCGAATAGACCAGAAGTGAACATGGAAGAACAGCAAGGGCCACCGCCCTCTGGTCCCTCCCGGGTGTCCTCAGGCAGGCCAAGTGCAAACAACTTCCGCGACCTTGTTAAACCTGTACCCAAACCCTGCTTTACCTGTGTAAAAGAATGTTCCTGTTCTAGGTATCTCACAGAAGCAGTTATACAATGTTTGTCCTTTAGTCCAGGGTACCAGGGGAGGTTATTGGCTCATCTTTGCCTCGAAGTATCTCAGTCAGGGGAGGAGAGCTTTTGCTGTTAATTCCTAGTACTTCATGTGTCCGTTTTTTCCTTTCCCAGGGGTGGGATGGGTGGAGAGCCAAGTGACAAGGCATATGATGACAGCTGTGAGACTTGGCTGCTCTTCTGAAGAGGTGCCGTGCAGCCCCCAGGAAGGCGCTGGCATTCAGAGGAGTCTGCCTCAGAATTCCTTTGCACTTAAGGGTTGTGCAGGGTCGCATGGACTGCCCAACATTGTTCATCCTTCCCATGTGTATTCTGTGTTGTGTGACCCTCGTGTGAACCCAGGCCATGATAAATATTAGGGATTTTGAAAGGTCAGTAGTTAGAGTGACATAGTCTAGAGAGGCACAGTGGGAAAAGGCCAGTTTGTGATTTGAACGGGGACGCTCAGCCTCTAAGAGCACAGCTGCTGCCTGTCCTTACCATTGTGGCTAGTCAGGCAGAGAAGGGTGGGAAGCTTTGAAATGAGAAGAGCTGGGTTCAAACAGTGTCTCATTATTCAAGTGTCAAGTGCTGGAATTGCAAAGATAAATAAGACTGCATCTGACCCCAGTGGATCCTATTTCTAGCTCCACCATTTGTCGACGGTGCAATTTTGGGTGAGTTACTTAATGTCTCAGAGCCTTACTTTGAAGTGAGTCTCATACCATATGCTCGAGAGGGATGTGAGGATTCAGAGAGGCCAGCTCTGCAACGACACACATTCAGCACCTCGTCCGTGTTATTCAGGGCTTCCTCTGGCTCGAGACCATTCCGCGGACAGATCTGAGATGTCTGCGGCCAGAGCATCTCATTGTGTGAGCGTAGAGACGGAGAAATGGCTTCAGTTTTCCAGGGAAAGAGAAACACATTTCAATCAAGCCATGAGTGTGTGGAGGGGGAAAGGAGAAGCTAGTGGAGGGCGGGAGGAGAGGGGCACAGGGAACTGGCAGAGTCGCTGCCTCATTTAGCAGAACTGGGAGACCCAGCCAGTTATGGGTGGGAAGGACGTGTCCCTTCCCTGAAATTCACAAGCTGAAGTTCTAACCCTGGTACCTCGGGGCGTGACCTTATTTGGAAACACTGCCATGGCACGTGTAGTTAGTTCAGATGAGGTCAATCCAACGTGACTGAGGTCAGGGAGAACATCTTGTGGAGATGAGCACCAAGGAAGTGGTGGGGCCGGGAGAAAGCCCTGGACCGGACCTGTCCCCAGAGCCTTCAAAGGGAGCGCAGCCCTGCTGCTGATGCCTCGGTCTCAGCCTCCAGCCTCGGGAGCTATGTTTTTCTGTTTACACTGCTCAGCTTTGTGAGGGCAGCCCTGGCTGACTGGACACTCCCCAGATCAGGGCTTAGGCCCTGGAGTCAACCCAGGCATGCAGGGCCCATGATCAGCCTGAGCCAGAAGTTACCACTGTGCTGTGCTAGTGAATTGACTTTTCCACCAAATATCAACACTAACATTCTGCTAATCATGAGAGGCCATGATCTGCTCTTGTTCTAGGATAGCTGATGAAAACCTCAAACGAGAGGTAGCATCTTTCCCGAGGGCTCAGAAAAATGGAATAGGTTCTTCAGGCCCTGTTTTCCCAGCAATGTGTTCCACACATTCCATGGTAGCCTGTCGAGAGCCATTCTACATAATTTTGGGGCAAAACTCATTTCATGATTAAATTATGATTAGGGCTGGCAATTTAGCTCAGTGGTTTTGCCGCCTGCTGCACAAGCGCAAGGACCCAAGTTCGATCCCGGGTACCAAAAAAAAAAAAATTATGATTAGGACTGTCTAAGGCCCAATGTCACCTTGGCCAAGACCCAGCTATGGTATTTATTGCTGATGGCTAAATTAGTTAGAAATTATTATAAGGCAGTTAAACAAAGCTGGGCCCTCAGCATAGAAAAACAATTGAGGCACATTCACTGGTCAGCATTATAAAAAGAAAAGAGGTACTACTTACCCTAGAGATGAGTTGCAGTGATTGGTATTCTAAGTAGACATCAATCTCCCTAGCCCATTTCCTTTCCGGAAATTCCTTGTCTGTGACTTGTTTTCCCATTTGATCCCCATTTAATCAATATTACCTGGGTGACTGTACTTGTGATCTTATTGGTTGATCATGGTTTTGTCCCACCTCATGCCCACCTTGTAATTTTCCATTGGGTCTTACAGTTTTGTCTCACCTTGAACCCACCTCACCTCTCAACTTTGCTCAATAAAATGCCTTTGAAAACGGGGTGGGCAGGCAACCCACTTTCCAGTCCCCTGTCTGTCTCTCTTAGACAGAAGCTATCTTTCTCTAAATAAATTTTTCCTATTCTTAACCTCTGTTATTCCTAGAATTCATTCTTCAATTTTAGAGAACATGAACTTGAGTTTCAAGTATCTAGTGGGTTCGGGAGTTACATCTCTTCCCCCTATATCAGTGGTATGCGGAAAAAACTCTGTGTACCTCAGGTCATAAGCTGAGGACTGAATGATGCTGAGACGCTCAAGGGCAACATCAGCTGAAGACATCCTGGTTCTTTGAGAACCCAGTAGTAATAAAGAGAAAGTTTTCACCTGGGGGAAGGACAAATTCCTTATTAGCCTGCTATCTCATCCCACCAACTATTGTAAGAATGCTTTGCCCTTCCTTATTTTATTCATTAAGTTTATTGATACATTTTAGGTATACAGTATAATGACATTCATCATTGGGAATTTGTACCTTAACATGATATATCTTGGTTCTTATTTTTTTCCCCATTCCCTGCCCTCCCTTCAATCCCTCCACCCCTCCCTATTTAGAAAGACTTTGTTTCCTTTTTTTCCTTTTCTCATATTTATTTCTTTCGCTTCTTTCCTTTCCCCTACTCCTCCTACTTCCCTTTCCCCTTTGGAACTTTTCTTTCTATTTCAAATTACCTGTTATACATTTTGATCCTTATTTACACTTTCAGTTTCTCATACCAGAGAAACTATTCGGTATTTAGATATATGTGTCCTATTTATTTCACTTAAGAGTATGGCCTCAATGTGCATCCATTTAGCTATCAATGTCTCTAGTTTCTCACTCTTTATGGCTGAGTAGTACTCCATTGCTTTTCCCCTCTTAATGTCCTCTTCGACCTCATCAACTTAAGATTACTGCTGCCCTCTGAGTCTCCTGGTACTCTCTCCAATTATTATGTGTACCCAATAAATAGTGGCATGTTTGGAATATCTTTGTCTTTGCCCACTCTGGCGCTGACCTCCCAGACTATACTTTGAAATTACGTCTCCATTGTCTCTCTTTCTTTAGCCCTTGCAGCATCCCTCTCTAGGCAGATCAGAGGATTGATCGGCCTCTGATAGTAGCCTACGCATGTGAGTCATCACTCATGCATATTTTGTTTTATATCTTCCCTCATTGTTTTGGGTGTAGGCCTTGCCATATAAATAAATGGCAAAACAAAAAGCCACATGTAATGAATGCTTTTTTTTTTTTTTGAGACTAGGTCTCGCTGTGTAGTTCAGGCTGGCCTTGAACTCACTATATATCCCAGGCTGGCCTCAAACTCAAGGTGATCCTCCTGCCTCAGCCTCCCCAGTGTTGGGATTACAGGAGTGTGCCACCACACCCAGCTGAATGCTTAATTTATACCACACATAGTTTAAGCACTTCACATGCATTATGTTATTTAATGTGCACAAGAAACCCATGAGATAAGTTTTAAATCAAGACTAGGAAATTTAAAGTAATTTGTCTAAGGTCCAGCCAGCATGGTTTGGACCTCGAGTGTCCCCCCACAGGTCCATGTGTTAGATGCTTGGTCCTCAGCATGGTGCTAATGGCAAGTGATGGACAGCTTAAGAGATGGGGCCAAGTGGAGGGTTGAAGTCACGGGGGCCGTGGACTTCAATGGGACTGTGGCACCCTGGTCGCTTCCTTTTCTCTCTTTGGCTCCCCGGCCATGAGGGAAATGGCTTTGCTCTGCCACGGGCTCCTGCCATGATGTGCTGGCCTCCACCAGAGGCCCACGAGCAATGGGCCTGCAGGGTCAGGGACTGCAACTTCCAAATGCTAACAACGAAAACCACAAACATAATTTGTCTATTGGAGCTTCAGTTCTGAATGGACAAAGGCATTTGAAAAAGGATCCTCCAAGAATTTGTAGCTACAGGGCAGGGGATTTAGCTCAGTGGTTTTGCCGCCTGCTGCACAAGTGCAAGGACCCGAGTTCGATCCCTGGTACCAAAAAAAACACAAAAACACAAGAATTTGTAGCTATACGTCTGTTTTTTCACATTCAGCTTGTACTACAAAGGGTGGGCAGGAAAACACAAGATGAAAAGCTAAGCTTCAGGGCCATCGGGTTATAACACTTACAGGGGCCCAGAAACAGCAGAGGCCCAGCTCTGGAGAAGAACATCCTCGACCCAGGTCCGCAAGAAACCCCAAAGCACTCAGGCAAGCAGGACCCACGTTTAAAAATTACAAACTTGTGCCAGGTGTGGTGGCGCGCACCTGAAGTCCCAGCACTCAAGGCAAGAGGATTGTGATTGCCCGGCCTGGGCGACTTAGTGACTTAGCAAGACCCTCTCTCAAAGCAAAACAGGACTGGGGTATAGCTCAGCGTGAAGGCTCTGGATTTAATCCCAGTACCTCACCAATCAAACTAACAAAAACCCCACGTCACAAGGAAGAAAGCCACCAAAGCAAGAGTAAGCATACATCACTAGAGTTAAACCTGTAAGGACTTCACAGACAGAAATAAGATGCAGAATCTCAAAATATTTTTGTTTAAAACTTTTACAGAAATCAAAAGGATTAAAAACACAAGCAACAATCAGGAGAAAAGTTAAAATCTACCAAATTTGAAAAAGAACCAACTAGAACTAACATGAAGAAATGGACTCTTTGAAAGTAAAAGCTTATTAGGTGGTATACAAGTCAGGACGCCCTAATTGCTATAGCAAATAGAACCAGCAAGATTGTTTTTTCTTATACTGGGCGGGTTGATCGAGCTCGTGGGGCAGATTTCTATACTTAGTGCTTCAGAGACTCAGGCTGACAGAGGTGCTGCCATTTTTAGCACGTGGCTCTTCAGATTTCCCTGGGTGTCATCTTTATTTCAGCCACCAGAAGGGGGAAAACAGGAGTGCGTGTAGGAAGCGTCCCATCGGCCAGGCCTGGATGTCAGGCACCTCTCTTCTTGGCCCAGGATGGAGGTGACTAGAGTTCAATCCCATGACCTTCACACAGAATAGGCAACTGTGGAGTGCAGGAAGGGTAGCGCCGATAAAAATCCACAAGTCCGTTGATAGGAGGTAAAATGGTAGAAGCATAGAGGTCGCCAGAATTTACCAATCAAGGAACCCTGAAGAGGAGGCATTATGAAGTCTGTCCCGAGGATGTGGGAAGCTCCCAGATCAGAACTTGATTCTGTTCCCCGAAGGATTCTTTGTCTTTGGTATCCATGACTCCTCACTCTGCAGTCTGGGAAGTTCTGCCCCGTCTGCGACCCTTTAGCAACACATTCTTGTATCCAATGTCATAATAGTGTGGATTTGTGGACACTGGGATTATTTTAAAGCTTACAAAGTCAGGCAGGGCATAGTGGTACACACCTGGAGTCCCAGCTACTTAGCAGGCTGGAGGCAGAAGAATCCCTTGAGCCCAAAATTTCAAGGCCAACCTGGGTGACATATGAAGACCCTGACTCAAAAAGAATTAAAAACGTTTCTTGCCAAAGCTGAGTTTGTGATTTCTTTATAATCCCTCACAAATTTAGTAGGTTTCTAATCTATTTGTTTCTAGATAGTTCCATATGCCACAAGCATATTGATAGTTCTCGCCTAAATAAAATTCTCAAACCTGATTGATGTCCTTGTTGCATGCCCTTCTATTTCACCTAACAGTGATTTTTTTTTTCAGTACCAGGGATCAAACTCAGGACCTTGTGCTTGCCAGGCAGGCGTGGTACCACTGAGCCACATCCCTGGCCCTACAATAATTATTTTGAGCCCATCTAAAGCAGTAGGTTCAAGTCAGAAGAGTCTCAATATGACCTTCGGCTTGGGCTGAATCGCTTTGTTTTTGTAAGATGTGTCATTGGCCTCTGTCACTCAAAGCTTTTATCAGAACATGTGTGAAGCCCTGTGTTCTATCCCCAGCACCATAAAAAAATAGCAGGAAAAAACCAAAACAAACAAAATAACAACAAAAGCTACCTGTTTTCAGTTTTACTTAGTGCTGCTTAGGACTGAGAAGCGATCTTTTCCAACACTGCCAAGGCCCAACTGTCTGGGCTAAGTCCATTCTTTTCCATGATAGTTAATTCTTTCCTGTGATCCTAGCATTAACTAAAAACTTTGCTAAACACAGTAAGGGGTGGCCAACATGCATGCACTAACACCGTGGCTCTTTCCAGCAAATTCCTTTAAAACAACAGAATCAGCAGTAGGCATTTGGTCTGATTTGGAAGTCATTGCAAGTGACCATTTTGCCAAATGTTTTGTCACTAAATAACCCTGATCTCCATCTTTCTAGCATATGATGTTTATTTCTGTGCCATGCGTACCAGAGCATTATGATGGGGCCACATGTTTTAGGTTAGGGTCCCATTTCTAGTACCAATGGGAAAGCCTAGAAAAAGGAGAAGTTACAAAACAGCAGCTGAAAATAAATAAATAAATAAATAAAAACAACAACAACAAACAGCAGCTGAATAAATTCAAAGAAAATGGAAGGAGGGGAAATAAGAAAGAAGAGAAGACATATAAATAAAAAATATAGGAAGAAATACTAATAAACCAGGTGAAACTTCTGGCAAGACTAACAAGAAAAAGGGAAAGAAAAGGAACGATGTAAACAAAAGTAGGGGAAAATGCAGTTGGAGGAAGAACTCCAAATGTAACAGATTAAAAAGATAATAGATCTGAGGGATGGAGGCAGAAGGATTCAAGTTTGACCCCATCCTGGTTGATTTAGTAAGATCCTGTCTCAAAATAAAAAATAAAAAAAGGGTAGGTATGTAGTTCAGTGTGAATTCCTTGGGTTTAACCCCCAGTACCACCAAAACAAAACAAAACAAAACAAAAAGATAATAGAATACCATGAAAACCTCATGCCAGTGAATTTGGAAACAAACAAAAGTGACAATTACTAGGAAAATATATTACCAAAATCAACTTGAGGAAGAAAAAAAAAATCTCAGTACCCCAAGAATTGTTAAAATTTACCCTCCAAGAAATTATCTGACACTATTGATCAGTTTTCTCATTGCTGGGATAAAATACCTGACATCCACAACTTGCTGGAGGAGAGTTTTAGTTGGCTTATGGTTTGGGTTTTGTTTTTTTTTTGGTACTGGGAATCGAACTCAGGACCTTGTGCTTGCGAGGCAGGCGGCAGAACCACTAAGCTAAATCCCCAGCCCAGTCAGCTTATGGTTTCAGAGGTTTCAGTCCATGGTCACAGCTGGCTCCAAAGCAGGAACATCACGGTGGAAGCTGCTCATTTCATAGTGGCCAGGAATCAGAGCACAGGGAAATATGCCAGGGAGAGATATAGCTTCCAAGGGCAGCTCCCAGGTGACCTTTCTGCTCCAGCTGGGCCTCACCTCCTCACAGCACATTCAGCTATGAACATCAGTAAATTAATCAACTGATGAATATAGCATCCTCATGATCCAACCATCTCTCCCAAAGTCTCTTAATGCAGTAAAGTTGACAAGTAAGAGTAACTGGCACTCTGATCCAGAGTGTTTTACGTGAGTAATATCAAACATTGAAGAAACAAATCTTATACAAAATATTTGAGAAAATAGAAAAAGAAAAACAGTGGTATACAAACTGGTAAAATTTTGGTATGCAAATAAGACAAGAAAAGTATGAAAGGGGCCGGGGATTTAGCTCAGTGTTTCCACTGCCTGCCTGGCAAGTGCAAGGACCTGAGTTTGATCCCCGGTACCAAAAAAAAAGAGAAAAGTATGAAAGGAAATTTAGTAGCAATCTCTATTTTGAATATAAAGGAAAATATCCTAAACAAAATATCCGCAAGTTGAACCTAGCAATGTACAAGAGCTATTGTACACATCTTTTTTGTTGTTGTTGTTACCGGGGATCAAACTCAGGACCTCATCATTGCAAGGCAGGCACTGGAACCACTGAGCTAAATCCCCGGCCCTATTATACACATCTTAATGAAGTTGAAACTAGACTCCTGCTTCCCACTGTATAGAAAAATTATTGCCATGTGAGTTCATCAGTCTTAACATCACTGCTATGATTCTTGACTTGTTCTTTTTTTTTTTTTTTGGTACCAGGGATCAAACTTGGGTCCTTGCACTTGCGCCGCAGGTGGTGAAACCTCTGAGCTAAATCCCCGGCCCACTGCTACGTTTCTTATGGTGCCATGCTGTGGTAAATCTGCAGCTGTATCCAGGAAGTACGCTTGCTTCAAAAAATTGAGCCTGACTGTTAAATCTGTGTGTTGACAGAGCAAGTCTTAGAAATGACAAAGAGTTTAAAAAAATTTAAAAAAAGTTAATTGACACCACAAGGAAGCAATTAGTAAAATCCAGAATGTAGGACAAATGATATCCTGCCTCTAACAAACCAATGGCAAATTAATGGCAATAAAAGTAGAATAAGGTAGAGTAGGAAAGAACCGGTAGAATTAGAAAGACAAGATATTTAGCAACTAAAGGCAATATGTTTATCTTGCTTTGAGTCTCTTTAAAATAAACAACTATAAAGCAGAAAACAAAAAAAGCCTGTTGGAGACAATTAAGGCAATCTGAATATAGAGCTAGACATTATGTAATATTAATGAGTTGTCATTTTGTCAGGCTTGATAGCGATATGGTGGTCATACCCATGTCTTATCAGAGACAGATAACAAAGTATGGGTGAAATGATGCAATGTTTACGATTTGCTTTACAAGGTTGATGTAAGAAAATTTAGCGTAATTATTGGGCTGAAAGATGGGAACAGGCAAGTCATTAGGTTATTTTTTCAATTTTCGTGAGTGTTTGAAGTTTTCCATATAAATGAAGACATGCACCGAATTAGTAACATATTAATAGATGTGTTGGACACATCTCATATCCACCTCACATTCTTTAGACCTCACCTTTCTCCTGGAACCAACATCTATCTCCGTGGCCATCCTCATCTGTGTAACTAACCAGCTACCTGGGACCCAGAAGTATTGGGCTGTCCCTCCAGGCTGTGGCTCCAGAGCCAGGCTGGCCAGCCACATGCTTCTGATTCTCCACCACCACTGGGGCCAGATGAAATACCACACCCCAGGAGGTGGGCTCTGGCTTCCCAGCAGCCATCAAAGGGGCTCAGTGACACAATCTAGGGAAATCGCCCCCATGGAGAGTATTTTGACAGATGAGAAGCAGGAAATGGCAGGGAACTGGGTGGAGAATCATTTCCTCTTCCCTCCAATGTATTGTTCCAATTGAGAGTTTTCCAATATGGTGGTCTGGAGATAGCCTGCATGGCCGAGCACATGCCTACTGAGCGGCCTACCGGCCTCTTTGCAGTTGGGGATGAAGTAGTTGGCTGCCTAACACACCACCTTGCATTGCTTCTCATCCTATCCAAACTCATTTCCCTTGTTACTTATTCTTGCTGTCTCTCCCAACCAGCACTTAGTCTCTGTTTCAGATTCTGTTTTTAGGAAAATTCAGCTAAGACAACTGGTTCCACAAGTACCTCTAGAAAGCAAATCCTCAAGATGGGTTTTGGGGTTGTATTGCCCATCTACATAAGATCAGTAGAAACTCCTTTGCTAATAGCAAGTGGGATGGTAATAACCCTGATATGCAACAGCACCCCAGCTTTCAGTAAGGTTCAGTTGGGTTGAATTGGGTAGCGAGCAAGACATTAGGACATTAATTAGTCATTGTGTTTTTTCAGTTTGGAAACGATAATTATATGGTACTAGGGAACTTTTTTACCTAGGTGGTGCTGAAAGTGAAGAAGGAAGCTCCCGTCCCTCCCAAATCCTAAACCAAGGCAGAGGCTTTGAAGGCCACAAAGGCAGGCCTGAACAGTATCTACAGCCACACACACAAAAGAAGACCCTACTCCTGGCAGCCCAAGACACTGAGGCTCTGAGCAGCCCACACATCCTGGCACCCTCAGGAGAGACACAGGTGGCCACTATGCCTTCATCCAGGTCCCCTGACCACAGAGTTGGCCCCGATGAAGACCGAAGACAAGAACACACTTGGCGGTCACCGTAGGTGTCAAGGCTGACAAGCACCAGAACAAGCAGGCTGTGAAGAAGCACTGTGACATGCAGGTGGTCAAGTCCATGCCCTGATCAGGCCTGGTGGAGAGAGGGAGCCTATGGTCCACGGGCTCCTGACTGTCATGCTTTGAATATTGCTAACAAAATTAGGACCATATAAATGGAATCCAGCTGGATAATTCTAAATATACATTTCTTCACCGTGTTGAAAAAATGGAGAAGGTGTGAGATACCTGGGAAACACAAAATGACAGGCTCAGAGCAGTTAATTATCAACTCCCGAAATGCTCTGAAAGCCAGAGAGGCTGTAGGGCAAGTTTAAAGGAGAGCATTCTTTCCTGCAGTCATAGGGTAAACTCTTAAAATCAAACCCAAGCTCTGATCACAGTGGGGTGGGACAGCAAAGGAGACTAAGTGCATGGCCCTCACAAGCTACCATGTCACAGTCAGAGCCCTAGGGGTAGGGAAGGCGTGGGACCCTTCCAGCTGGGACTGGAATGTCTTGGTGGATGAACATCTTGCCTTCAAAACCCCTGAACTCTCCTGCTCTACCCAGACCCCTTTATTCATGACTTCCTCTCCTTATGACCTGGCCTGCCCACTGATCCCCTCTATCATTGCCCAGAGTCGGGTTGCGGCACAGCCTATATAGGGGAGCAAAAGTCCTGCTGCAGAGAGGAAAGACACACGTGCCAAAGGTATGGGGGCCTTGGCTAGTGAGCGCAGGCAGGAGCTGTGGACAGGTGTGGGAGGGCCCCTGAGGATGTTACATAGTGAGCAGGGAGTGCAGTGGGGCAGAAAGCTCAGCTGGGAGGACTCACTGATTAGGGAGTACTCATGCAGAATTCAGGGTTTAATGTGTTAGCAAGAATGCCCAGGGCTCGTTCTAAATGTTGGCCAAGATGGTAGTTTGAATCCTGGTCTTAACAATGGCCACAAGCAAGGTAGAGGAGCCAGAGTTTTTGCATTGGGCTGAAAAACTGCAGAAGACTTGATCTGAAATATTAAAAGGGTTTATTCTGTAGGGTTCTAGAACCCACTAACTAGTTCCTTAAACCTTCCCAGGACACTGCCTTCACTAAGGCAAGAAAGAATGCATTTGGGAGGAGGCTTTCTGAGGACTTTACAATGACCATCCTGGTAGCCCAGAGTCGAAGGTGGGGGAGGGTGCTAAGGAGCTGGGCTCCTGTGGCTAGTGGAGATAATAGAAGTCCCAGAATTGTAGTGCCAGGTGGGAGCACATAGCTATAAAGGATGAGATGGACATCTTACCACAATGGACAGCCAGGTGGAGGGTGACTTTCTTTGCTGGGACTCACAGTGCCGGCTAATATGTCATGCTGTTCCTAGGGGAAGGGTAACCATAGAATTCATTATTCAAATTGAGCTACTTCTGAGAGCAAAGAGGAGTGCTAAGGATGATTACATGAGGAAGGTAGGTAACACCAGGGCTGCCTCAGTCAGTGGTACCTCTAGTCATCCTACCAAATTGTGAGATACAAATACAGGGAGCAACATATACACATATACATTAATATAAGTGCAATATGTTTGTTTGTTTCCCTCCCCACATAATATCAAACATCTGAAAGCTTTCAGAATATTTTCTCCATTGACATGTGATATAGTTTGGGTCTAGATATTCCCCCAAAGCTTGTGGTCATAGGCTTGATCTAGAGTGTGAAGCTGGAATTTATTCATGATGCAGTGCTAGGCTCAAGGGCATGAGGATGAAGGGTGTGAGTGTTGCCCGTCCTAAGTAGACTGGATAAGATAAAAGGGGGAGAAAGAAGCTGGTAACACCCCCTGTTGCCTTTGCTGCCTTGTGTCCACCATGTTGTTTCTCCTCTCCAAAGCCTGTTTGTCATCCCTGCCTTGGAGCCAGCTGATTATGGACTGAAACTGCTACAAACTGTAAGCTAAATAAACCCCTTCCTTTCCAACTTTTGGTGTCGGGTATTTTGTCTCAGCAATGAGAGAAAAGTAACTAATGTAACCTGTTACCCCATGTTTCCTCAGAACAAAGGATCTACTTTACAGCTAAGGGGGGCGGTAATGATGGGCTCGTGACTGTGGCCTACTGGTCTTAGTATGTAGCACATGCCTCAAAAAAGCAGCTGACCTGATAATATAGTGGAAAACCTCTTTGAAACTCAGATTCAGAAACATCTGCAGCTTATAATATGCTTTAAACAAATGACCGCTATATGGGCCTAAACTTCAATAGCTAGAAAAAATGAATCCAAATCCAAAGGGTGGAAGTAGAAGTGACTCCTTTTACTCCAACGCTCAGTGAGCCACTTAATGAATTTGTGTTGGTTTTTTGTCTCCAAAACTTTGGACTCTGTCATGTTAGAGGTTCTGGTTTCCAGGAAGATGTCTCTGCCAGTCAGATTCTACTGACCTGGAAATGGGTTACTACCTGGCTGCTTTGGACATTTCAGACCAAGGGTCAAAGAAAAGAGTTAAAGTATAATAATTATAATTTCCATGAGGAGCCTGGATTGTTCCTTCTGGATTCCAAGGATTCACTGGGGAATCTAGCTCTTCAATGCCTGGTATTACTATTATTTAGATCTAGAATGTCCCTCAAAAGGTTCTCTGAGATAAAGGTGCTGTTGGGAAGTGGCACCTGGTCAGAAGAGGTGGGCTGCTGGGGGCATAACCTGGAAGGTTATATCTCTCTCCCCAGCCCCCACTTTCACCCTCTGCTTCCTGGCTGCCCTGGGATGAGCAGCTGTCCTCTGCCTGTACCCTTCTGCCGTGTCCTTTCTGCTTCACCCAACCATGGACTGAATCCTCTAAAACTGGTGAGTCAAAATAAACCTCTCCTTCTTTAAGTTGTGAGTTTTGAGAATTTTGTCCCATTGATGGGAAAAGTAACTAAGACAGGTTTTTTTAATACCAGAAAAGTGGGTTCATTGCTGTGACTGTACTTGACTATGTAGTCTAGAGGCTTTTGGAACTGGTTTGTGGGGTGAATTTGGAAAGTTTTGGAGATGATAGCTAGAGAAGACCTAAAATGCTGTAAATTGAGCTTGGTGGTAGATTCTGATCAAAACTCAGAGAACCAGAATACTGACAGATATGCACACAGTAAAGGCCAGGCTCAGGCAATTTCATTTGGGAACTAGGACTCCATTAGCAGCTAGATTCAAGACCTTCTGTGTTATGTTGTGGCAGAAAGTTTGTCTACATTCTGCTCATATTCTGAGATTTTGAGGGAAACTGAGATTAAGGGTGGCAGACTAACTAATCTGGCAGCAGAAACTTCAAGGCAGCACAATGTTCAAGATGTGGCATGAGTACTACCAGCTGCTTTTAGCCAGGTCTACAGTGAAACAAACATTGAGTGAGACAAAAGAAGTGAAAAATGTAGTTTCAACAGAGAGAAAGTGCCCACAAAGCAAGGGCCATGGAGCCCATGGTTGCTAAAAAAAATTAGCATTAAAATGAGCCAAGACAAGTCTTCTGCATCAGGATAATAGGAAAGATGGCTTCAGGGCATGTCATGAATCAGCAAAATCCCACTCTTTGGAGGCTCAAAGATGCAAAAGTGGAAGACTTTGCATTGAGAAGAAAGCACCAGGGAGCCCAGCACATTTGGGGCAAAATAGGAAAGAGATTTCAGAGTTCAGCCATCTAGGTACACAGAGGCCTCTACATCTACGGTCCTAAAAGGCTTGGCTACTGCTCAAGTTGACAGCAGACCTTGGTGTCAACAACATGGTGCTCATTTTTCAGGCATGCAGAATACAACATTTGTGCAGTCAGCAAGACTTCCACTCAGATTTCAGAGAAAGGCATGGGAGGCCAGGCAATGTATCCCTGAGAGCAGTGCCTGAATCTGTGAGTGTGAAGTCAAAAGGGCATTGGAGACCCCAGAAAAATGGAGTTACCAGGAACATGGAGCATCTGTTGAGAAAAGCCCCAAGCAGTGAGCAGAGCCACCTCAAGAGAGTGGCTGTGAATGCTACAACCAGCAATGCTGATGGGTGGGGCTGCTCAAGTCCTTTGGAGCTCACATCTTGCCACAGCTTGCCGCAGGTGCTGCAGGATTTAATGTTCGCCCTGCTGGGTTTTAGTCTTGCTTTGGTCACCTTCTTTCCCAACCCCCCTGGAGTGGTATGTTTACCCTGTGCCATTGCATGTTGGCAGGGTTTTACTTCCCTTTTGACTTTTACATGGGCTCACAGCTAAGAATATGCCTTGAGTCTCAGAGGAGACTTTGGACATGGACTTTTCAGCCATGTCAGAACGGTCAAGATCTTGGCAACTCTTGAGATGGTCTAAATGCATTTTGCATAATGCATTGAACATGAGTCTTTTGGGGACCCGGGGTGGCATGTTATGGTTTAGATATAGAATGTTCCCTGAAAGGATCATGTGTTCAGAGGTGAGGTTTTTGGAAGGTGAAAGAGTCATGGGGGCACTATACTCACAATAGACCAATCCATGGGTGCTAAAGGTCCTGGTCGAAAGAAGCAGGTCACTTGGGGTGCAACCTGAAGGTGTATCTCCCTTCCTAGACCCGTCATTCTTTCTTTCTTCCTGGCTGTCATGGGGCGAGCTGCTTTTCTCCACTATGCCTCCCACCATACCCTTTCTGCCTTAGAGGCGGTATGAACTGAATCCTCTAAAAGCCATGATCCAAACTAAAGTTCTCCTCCTTTAAGTTGTGACTATTGAGTATTTTGTTCCAGGGAGAAGGAAGTGACCAAGACACTTGGTCAAGCAATAATTTGGCAATAACAGCAATTACAATTTGATAAGGGCAGTTCAGCCAAGAGCTTCAGACCCCTCTGCTCCAATCCCCAAGTAGGAAGATCATCCAGTCAGGCACCAAGAGCAGCACCATAGTCTCATACAGGAGCCATATACTGGAAGCACACACCTTCTAGCCTAGAAGGGGCAGCGATTTGTCTTTCTAGCACCCCAGTTCAAATGTTAATCTCTTCTGGCAGCACCCTCACAGAAGTTCCCGGAAATATTTTACCAGGTGTTTGGGCATCCCTTAGCTCAGTCAAATTGACCCACAAACTTAACCTTTACAATCTCATTATGTCAGAAAGTAAGTTTTGTTTTATTACTGATGAGAGCATTGCACAAGAACACAAGGACAAGGAGTTATCTTGAAGGGCTCCCACTGAGAGACCTAAGTTAGCTTAGGAGACTCCATTTTGTCTGAACTGCCCCAGTCCTGATGGGAAAACTGTCCTCTGTACAAACTCTGAAAAGGGGGGAGACTCTTATCTCCCATTTGTACTCCTGTGTGATGTCTCAACACACCAGATGTTCTTATCTCGAGCCTACACTCCTGCTTTTAATTGATGCTTAAGGGTTTAGACAAACCACCGCAAAGGTGCACATGGAACCCACCTGTTGTAAATAACGGGATGTGTGTTTACATTTTATAAGGGCTGGTTTTACATTATGTATCTGGTAACCCAGAGGTGCTAACCACACATTCTTTCTCGCTTCTGTAGATACGCTTACTGCAGGGCTAGGGAGAGGGGAGGAGGAAAGGGTTTTCTTTATAAAAACTGACCAAAAGTTCAGTCCAGGGCCAGTCTCCTGGCAGGGGATTTGGTCCCAGCCGGAAATAAAGTTCTCTATGGAATTTACATCATGTCGTGACTCGGGTGATTATCGCTGTTGGGGACTTAGGCCCAACACCACTGGTCAAACCTGGGACAATTTCAGTAACAAATAATTAACTTTAGTAATGAATTACAAAACCATTGGGAAAATGGAATCCATGAATCCATGTTGATTGTAAATACATAAGGAAGGAGGGGAGGTTCTAGTTTAGTGTCATGGGAATGTGGAGACAGTTAGGATTAGAAAATCATCGTTTGACAATCATGACAGTAAAGATGAATTCAGGTAAAAACCAAACACAGATGGTAATTCTAGAGGGGAGCTTTGATGAGTAGGGTGTGCATGGTCTGAAAGTGTCTTCTAGATTTATTAATAGTTGCAAGGGGGACTGTAGTAACTGATTGATGTCAGAATGTTGAGTAGGTGATCAAAATGAACATTGCCAGTGATGGACAAATGGGCGTCATGGGAGTTCAGAATTCACGTCCTGAGAAGGGCACAACATCATCTATGCAACATTCTAGCTTAGAATTATAACGTGAATGTAATTACGAAGAAACAGCAGACCAATCCAAACTAAGAATCTACTTCTAAAACCTTCATAGTTTCTAAATTGTGATCGCAATAAAAGATATAAGAGAATATCCTTAGCTTTAGGAAATACACACTGAAAAGGTCCACGGTATGTACAATTGGGTGCTCTTTGCACTATTTTTACTCTTGCCACTTTTCTGTAACCTTGAAATTGTTTCCAAATTAAAAGTTTAAATGAATAACCAGAAAATGCAACAAATGTCCATTATAATGACCCCATGAAAGAGGTATCTATGTTTCTATTTCACAAAGGAAAAATACTGAGGTTTGGAAAGGTTAGGTAATTTGTGTAAGGTGATCCAACTGGTAAGTGTTGGAACTGGGAATTAGACCTAGATTCCCTTGGTCCGAGTCTTTCTCTTTCCTTTCTTTTTAACAGCAAAAAGAACAGGACGTAAATGATAATCACAGACACTTCCCAGAGGCCTTGCGATCAAAGGCCTCTGTCCTTTTACTGTCCTTTTATTGTCCTTTTACTGTCCTGTTGCTTCAACCTTTTACCTCCCAGGGAAGTGCCTGGAAGTTCACATTCACCCTTTCCTCTCACCCCTCCCTTGCAGAGGGGATGCGGCAGACTGGAAGAAAGTTAGAAACTAAATGACGGAGGCCAGGGGAAAGGACCAGACCCAGGCCCAAATAATCTCCCAGCAGCACCTCGGGCCCTGGGCAATGCCCCTTCCTGAAGGCTCGAGGTTCTAAGGTGCTTTGAGGACATTTGGCCTGAGGAAGCAGAGATGTAAACCTTTCTTGGAGGAGGACTCCCCTTTGCCCAGAGACAAGGGTCCCATGTGTAAAATGACTGCTCCTCTTACCATGGCAGCCTGCCAGAAGCCTGTCACCTCTCTCCGCGGGGCACTCGCAGGCCTTACAGCCACTTCTTCCCTGGGAAGCAGCCATCTTGCAACCACAGGTGCTCCTTGGCTTACGATGAGGGTCTGACCCAGTCAGCCCATCCTAAACTGTAAACACTGGAAGTCAGAAATGTCCCTGAACCTATGGAACACTCATTTAGCCGAGCCTGCCTTATACATGCTCAGAACACTCTATTAGCCCACAGTTGGGCAAATCGTCCAACACAAAGCCTATTTTATAACAGGATATTGACTAACTCATGTAATTTATTGTTTTCTGCAGCTGGATTTTTGAGGTAGGGTCTCACTATGCAGTTTCCCGCCGGCTTTGAACCACTATGTAGCCCAGGCTGGCCTGAAACTCATGGTGAACCTCCTGCCTCCGCCTCCCGAGTGCTGGGATTACAGGTGTAGACCGCTCTGCCCAGTAATTTATTGAATATTATTCTATACTGCAGATTGTCGGTTGTTTACTAAACTGAAGAGCATTGGTTATTTCTGCTCTTGATCAGCTGACTGAGGGCTGTCAGCATCACACAAGAGTACAAAATGCAAAGTTCAATGTATGGTTTCTACTGAATGCATATCAATTTTGCACCTTTTTAAAGTTGAAAAGTTGTAAGTTGAACCATGTAAGTTGCACACTGTCCTTGAGTTTGGCCTCTGCTGGGGTTTTCTGAAATGACACACAGAGAGAAGCAATCGCGCAGGCCCCTGGGGACAGCCAGGGTTGTGTGGGAAGCTCCCTTTCTGGCTTCCCAGCACTTTCCATGAAGTGCATTGAACAAAATAGTGTCCACGTCCCAGAGGAAAATGGGAACCCGCGGACACAGGCCTGCCCAGCAATGGATAAGACCTAAAGTGGTTGCCGTGGAGGCACATGACTGGGATGGTACCCCAATTGCACAGGGACTTTCTGATGGTCTAGGAAACCATTTGCTATAAAGGGATTCTCACACCTGCTCAGCAGCCCCTATGTGTCTGGTGAATGCCAGAGGACCTGTCCCCTGGATGTTCATGGACTGGAGGGGCATACTCCTCCCTGAGCAGGATGGATGTGCACCCATCATTCGAGGCGGATCAATCCCCCCATCTGTCTAGAGAGGGCGCTGTGAGAGCTAAAGAAAGACTAATAGAGTCAGAATTTCAAAGTACAGAGGGGGCTGGGAGGCCAGTGCCACAGTGGGAAAAGACAAGACACTCCGAGCTGGTCGCTATTTATTGGGCACACACAATAATTGGAGGGAGTATCAGTGACTCACGGTGGCCATGATCTTATGTTGATGAGGGTTTTAGGTTGAAGAGGACAGTAAGAAGGGAAAAACATTCTTAAAATAGTAGGTGGGGCAAGGTGGCAGGCTAATAAGGAATCTGTCCTTTCCCCAGGTGAAACCTTTCTCTTTTTTTATTACTACTGGATTCTCAAAGAGCCAAGATGTCTTCAGCTGATGTAATGTTGCCCTTGAGCATCACAGCATCACTGAGGCCTCAGCTTGTGCTTCTGTGTACCATAGCCAGATCTTGGGCAAGGTGACATTGGGCCTTAGACAGTCCTAATCATAATTTAATAATGAAATGATTGTTCCCAAAAATTATATGAATGGCTCTCGTCCCTGGCTACTGAGCAGAGTTTTCTGGGTGCAGACTTCTCCATTGTCCCCCTGAAAACTAGGCATGAATCAGGTCCCTCCCATGTCAGGCATGGCCAAGCTGGAAATAAGGAAGTCAAGGAAAGGTTTAGTGAAATGTGTTTTCAAAAGGACAATAACCAAGAAATAAGCAGGATTAGGGGAGCAAAGCACCAAAGGTGGCAAAGCACTGACCATTAGCAACCCCCAGCTGTTCCACCCCATGCTGAGGGTGCACAGCAGAGAGGGAGCCCTGGGAGCCCAGTCCACCCAGGGCAACCCCTTCTGGGTGCAGAGCAGAGCACAGCATAGATTTAGGGGGAAAATAGAGACTACCTAGGGAACCAACAGTCTTCAGGATCAGGGTACATGGCCCCTTCTAAGGCAATTTCCCACATAGAGACTAAAAGGAAAAACAGGCAAGATGTAACAAGGACTTCAAACCAGAGGGAAACAGGACATGCTGCATTCAAACCATCCCCATCAGCACATTATTATAGCTTGTATCTAGATCCCCTCCCAGAGTTTCATGTGTTCTTTT